TGGGGGTGTAACTTCTGTCAAATTAACATGTCATGGATCATTGTTACAGCTGCACTTCTCCTCTTCTGCATTTTGACTCAATTAAAAGTGAAACGATGGAAATCTGTCTTACAATCCTTTTTTCCCCGTTGCTGGTGTAGTTCAACCTCGTACCAGTAAATTCAGTATCGGTAAAAGTCATTTGTACACTTGATGTATAAGAGACTGGGCTGTGTGTGTTTCAGAAATAGTAGCTGCTTGTTTCAGGGACAGTGTACTTACTGACTGCTTGCCTGCCTGTCAGTCTGCACAGTAAATAGGTCAGTGTTTTATGTGAGCGAAGAATCGGTAATGTCTGGGCCTTCATGAATCTGCCATCTTTAGCTGTTCAGCAGAACTGCCGGCAGGAAGGTGATAAGCTAAACAGCCATACAGCATTAGAGACCACATTTAGATTTGTAATATCTAACTGTGATGCTGCTGCTGCTGTTTTTGTTTGTTGTGCTCACTCACGACTGCCTGTCATTAAAATAAACAGAAGCATCCCGAAGAGGGTTTTGGGGATTTTTTTTTAGCCATCATTCAGCCACGTTGCTTTCTGAGGACAGTTCTTTCCTAACATTATCATATTTATGAGCACTTCAATGTTTTTATATAAGTGGTGTGACCGTGCACCTCTGAAAATTTGCCACAGTAAACCCACTTTTACTTTTGTGACATCACTCTGCCCAAACTGCTCGCAGAAGTTCCTTTAAATTGGTTTATTATTGTGTGCTAGAAAAAGTCTGAACAGATTCATCAGCTGTTCCATAAATTGTCATCATCAGAGTGCAGACGACCCCGTTCATGTGCGTTTTAGTCGTCAGAGACACACCGACCTCTCCAAAGCCACCTAACTCCATCCATATATATGTTGCTTTCTCCCACTCGCTCTAAAGCTTCACATCTATTACAGTGACATTTTTTTTTAAACTAAACCTTTACATTACAGCAGGTATGTGACGGGTCAGGCTAATGAGACATAAGTAGTGACTGCAGTCTGAAATTGGACAAAACATTAAAAGGAATAAGTCAGTGTATTGCTTCCAGCTGTTTCTATAAATATGCATTCCTGTGACTGTGTGTCATCCATGCTGATGATCAAAGTAACTATTAAAATAGTTTCACCAACACTTTTTTATATCACTGATGGGGACTGTGTAGGGTGTAGCCAACCTCTCGCCCTCTGACAGCTGGGATAGGCTCCATCCGCAGCCTGCCACTGTGAATTGCATAAGCGGATGGATGGGTTGTTGGGTAGAAGTCCATGTAACTGTATGTATTGTGAGCCCAATGCATCACGCATGTGTCATGGCTCCTTACTCCTCTGTTTAATAACAGAATGGCTATTAGAAGCCAACAGTTTTACAAATCCACGTCTGAAAAGGGGGACCAACTAACCCGACTAAACCTCAAGAACTCATTAGTTTTATGTTTGAAAAGTTCAAACTCTCCTGTCGTTGTTTGATGTTGTAACCACCGATTCTTCCCTCCATGTTTTCAGACCAGATATTGACTCGACAGATTAGAGCCCCATCGCTGTTGGCAGGTCTCGCTTGTTTAATGCGCACATTACTGAATCCACTTCTGTGCGTGACAGTAAAAGCAGTGTAACTTCTATTGAAGCAAAACTGATAGCAAAAAAAATGATGTTAACGGATTAACAGAGGCTTTAGTCGCAGCTGTGTGAGTCTTAACAGGACAGGGATGTTTGTGTTTTTGCAATGATCAATAGACAAGGTAGACAGACAGCTTGGATGCCACTTTGTGACACTAAATCACTTATAGTGCTGCACTTTTTCACCGATAATAAAAAATTATACCCCGTGAACTCTCTTAATAGGATAGATGACAGACAGTCAGCCGGTCTGGTTATGGATCATTTAGAAACAATCAGTAACTGTGATTGAGAAGCAAAGAAAAGGATATGAGGGGGGAAAAAATCAAATGCTTAAATAAAAGTTTAGATATCAAGTTCAACAGTATTTCCACACTCGCTGTAAGCCTGGTGCCACAGTATTAAGCCATAAAGCTTAATAATCCCTGTGATCCTTCAGCTAAATTTGGCTGATTGTGTCAGATTGCATACAAAGGTTACCAAACCTTGTCTTCCTTATTGCCTGGACAGCCGTGCTGTATACACGCCCTGTTTCTTTAATGTGTCCACATTGTGAATTTCCTCTGTAAATAGCAGAGTTTTGTTGGGTTTTGTTGTCAGTGACACGCCCAAACTCCAACCTAAGCAAACCTGTTTTTTGTTGTCGTCTGGAGTCTCGCATGGAAAGCGCCAGCATAGTGCTCCCCCACCAGCAATATATCTCATAAGATCTTTGAAATGCGGTATTAAAATAATAGCAACGACATAGTGGCGTTTTAAAATCATAGTATGTCTCTGGAGCTGACTGGTTATTCAAAGATAGTCGGTGCCTTCTAGCTAAGCCAGATCAAAATCTAATTTCAGTTAACCGTGCTGTCAGGAGTGAGTCACTTTTTTTTTTTTTTTTTTTAACAGATCATTCTTGGGAAAGGGTGATTTAAAGGTTTCTCAAGGATTCAACTGATGTAACCTCTGTTAAAGGAAGATGCTGCAATATTATTTTTATCCCTATCTTCCAGTGGTGGAACGCTTCTTGTTTTCAGTTCTTGTTCATGTTCATGTTTTACATTTCAACTCTACATTCATCTACAGTGAGCTGGGCTGCTATTGAATGCCAGCAGTGTGCATGGGCTGATATTCGCCAAATAATTTCCGGCAGTCGTTGTTGAATAGTTAATCTAATTGAAAAGATCACAGTGCGAGCTATCACGTCACTAGCAGAGGAGAATACCAAATGCTGTCTAATTAATTAGACATAAAGATTATGTTGGCAGCTTTTATCTCAGATCCATGTTTGATCTCCAAGCTTTTATTTAATGTAATATAAACTTTCACATATTTTGTAGTTTGTTTCTTACGAGTCATAAACTCAATTCCTTACACATTAAAGCATATTGGTAATGTTATGCAAAGGAAGAACATGTTTAATGTTTAAATGGAATAATGAAATCTGTTTACTGAATCCGTTGGATGTTTACATTCAATCAGCAGTTAACAGGGAAACAGTTAATGATGATGTTGTTTTTGTGGGGTTTTTTTGTTCTTAATCTGACATGTTTCTGAGGTAGTTACTGCACAGTTAAATAAACAAACAATGAGCATGTTTTGAGAAGCCTTGATTTGTGGTTCTGGTGTCCTGCCCAAACAGGTTTATGATGAAATGACACATTACTGACAAATCCCTTTCACAACAAGACAAGAATTTGAGGCAGCAGATGGAGATAGCCAGAGGTATTGTGTAATAACGCTGGTAACTGTCAAAATCTGATGAAACGGTGGCTTCTTATCATGTCGCATCGTTCCACTAATCAAGTTCTTTTATTCCAAACCAGTTCTTTTGGGACGTTAGGGAAGAGTGCAGCGTGATCTATCAAACTGTGCCTAGTGGAGGAGGAGATGGTTAAGTACAATTGTAAAGGCCACCACGAAGGCACGTGTGTGATTCGTCAAAGGCAAGGCTCGCTGTGTAAAAGCTTGAGAGCGTGTCTTTGTTCGCTTATGTAGGTCTCAAGCAAGGGGGCGGCCCACGTGGATGGCCCGCTTTCTGGGATGCCTGTGCTGCACATCACATGATGGGCTTGGCCTCAGGGTGCGGCACTCAAGGAGTCTAAGATGTGTAGATGCAATGGGTAGATGGAAGATTAGAGCATGAGTGATGGAAATATTTACTCTTGCCAGATTCTCTGAGAATCAGTTCTTGGTTGTTGAGTCAACCTTTAAATCTAAATTAGATTTAAATCTGCCGTGCAAAATATCAGCCGTGTCCACATAGGAAGAATTAAGTGTACTAGTACTGTTACTTATATTTAACCAGGAAGTACTCCTGAAATCAAATCTCTTTTACAAGGGAGAAAATCAGAAACATAATCAGAATCCTTAAGGAAATTATATGGTTACAGTTGCTCCAAGACAATAAGGACAGTAACAGACTGAACTAAATGAAATAATACAATATATTACAAAGCTACAAAATATAAGAAATAGCTGTAATATATAGAAATAGAACTTTTAAATATCAAGAAACATTGTGACTCCTTAAACCCTCAAGAAATTAATCAATTAGTTTTAATAATTATTACCTTATCCATCACTTGAAGGGTTGATGGTTTGGTCCCGCAATCACTCCACATACCGAAGTTTTGCTTACCAAGACACTGAAACTCCTGATGGCTGTTGGACTTCTTGCATGGCAGCTTAGCTGTTACTATAACACTATTTAAGTACCACTGAGGTAGAAAAATGTAAGTGCACACCATTTGCATGAACATATTAATATAAAATACCACTGTGGATTTTTTTTTTTACTGTGGCTTTTCTACTGTAAAACTGCCCCTTAAACTCCATGGCTTGGTCCTGACCTTAATAAAGATCAATCAGGCATAGCTTCTTCATGAAGTCATGCGCAGCCACAATCCTGGCAGATCAGCTGATCTCACTGCCAGTCCATATTAGATGGGGTGTGAGCCGATGGCCTACACGACCTACAATTTTAGCCTGTCCACGGGTGCTGTGCATCAGCAAAGCGCTTTGCAACCCACCAGCTCCTTCTTTTCATGTTGTATTTGACTTACTCATTGTCATTACTCATTGGTGTTACTGATGCCTGCTCCCTTTTACACAGCAGGTCTTGGTGAACCAGAACACCTAATATGTACTACAAATGGAAATAATGCTTTTGTGTATAAAAAATGGTATTCCTCAGTTTAGCAAACTTAACATTGTTGTGTATTATGCATAGGGCTAAGTGCAAGTGAAATTCAAAGCTAAGATCAGTGCAGAGGGTTTTTGTAGCTTTCATCACCTGCTGCTGTTTGAGTTCTTACTGATCTATACATAGACTTTTTCACACTGAGCTCCTACACCTCTCTCCTTCTCTCTTTCCCAGGGCATTGTGAGTGCTACTAAAGATGTCTGATAGTGTTGATATTGAAGAGAAACCACCAGCCCCCCCCTTGAGAATGAACAGTAGTTCCCGAGACTCTTCATCAGTGAATCACGCATCCAAACCGCTTCCAATGGCTCCTGAAGAGAAAAACAAGAAGGTCCGCCTGCGCTCCATCTTCCCCGGGGGAGACAAGAGTGAGTATCCTTCTCAACATGTCGCCTTCAGGCTCAGCAGCACATTGGATCACATGGTTTACTTGTTTCCTGTGTGTAAAGAAAAAAAAAAATAGATGTTAAAAATGAGCTTGTAAGCAGATTTTTGTCAATCTCCTTTAGCAAACAAGAAGAAAGAGAAGGAACGTCCTGAGATATCCCTACCCTCAGACTTCGAACACACCATTCATGTTGGCTTTGATGCTGTAACAGGAGAATTCACAGTGAGTATCGCTTTCACCCGATGATCAGGCATATAAATGAGGACAGATGTGCTTCTAAAATTCGCCTCTCATTTGAAAGCAAACTTACAGGCACACATTTCAAAATTCACATTTCCCTAAAGTGATAGAGTCAGCTAGTACGGTAATTAAATTTCCTCCACATAGGTTTGGTAATACAAGTGACCCGAATGACAATCACTCGAACCTATCAAGTGAAACCTGCACTTGATTCCTTCAGTGTTTCCTGGTAAATTACATTTTAGGTCCAGTCTCAGTTTGATGCTGTTACACAAGTCTAGATATACAATACCGTGAAACATAGTTTTACCCGCCCTCTATATTCACTGTTTAATGCTCTTTGTTCTCAGTTTAATTGTTTTTTTTCCTTCGTTTTATGCGTCGCTTCTTTTCATTCTTTTATTAGCAGTTAGGTAATCTATGCAGACTTAATGTACTAGCAAGAAATACAATACACTGTCTTTGTCATTACCTAGTTTGTGATTCAGTAGAGCAGTTCCAGCACAGATTTTTAAATGCAAAGGTAATTATTCTAATTATTTAAAGCTTTACAGATGTATGAATACAATTTACTACTCTGTGGGGAATTTTGAACAGTAAAAACTACAGTCTTGGGTAAAACTAAGTTCACCACATTATTCAATAACTCGGGGAACCACCTGTAATAGCAATAATGTGAGGTAATTGAATGTCTCTCACATCATTGTGGGGGAATTTTGGCCCACTCTCCTTTATGTTCCTTCATTTTACTGAAGTTTGCGAGCATTTAATTAAATGCAGCTCTATTAAGGTTCTGCAAAAGCATTTTATTCAGGTTGAAGTCTAGACTTTGACTTGGCCACTGCGACACCTTTTTTATTTTTTGATTTTTCAGCCATTCTCTTGTAGATTCATTGCTGTGCTTGGGATCATTGTCCTGTGCCATGACCTAGTTTCTGTCAGACAGCCTCACATTTGACTCTAGAATATTTTTTGCTATACCAGAGAAGTTTTTAGTCGATTTAATGACTACAAAACAAGCCCAAATCATCACGTCTACACTGCAAATATGGTGCTGTGCATTATGGCCAGGCATCTCCACTTTGGTCTCCCTTGTCCAAAGGACATTGTTCCCAAAGTCTTGTACTTTGTAAGCCTAAACTATCCCGCCGTGTTCTTTTTAAAGAGAAAAGGATTTCTCCTGGCAACCTTTCCAAACAAGCCATACTTGTTCAGTCTTTTTCTGATTGTACTGTCATGAACTTTAACATTTAACATGCTGAGGCCTGTAGAGTCTAAGATCTAGCTCTTAATTTTTTGTATGGTCTGAACTTGGGATGAATTTGCCAAATTGTGGGGCTGTGTTAACACACATTTGAATGCTCCAGACCAGCAAACTGCTAAAAGTTGTGTTTTTTTATAGATGTGCTCACACTGGCTGATAACCAGCTCATCAAGTGCACTTTATTAGCAGCACCTGGCTGCATAACAGTTCTTTTGGAAGCAGTAAGGGTGTACTTATTTTTTCACAGGACCATGCGGACTCCTGTGTTGTTTTTATTGCACTCTTTGCATTTGGTTAGCATCCTTGGTGAGATTCTCGTTAATGGGATAAGTATTAAAAAGATGCAGTAAACGATAAAAACAACATATTAACATATTCGTACACCCACTCACTCATAATAACAGAGATACATATATTGAACCTAGACTAGTTTGACAGTGCTGGGAATAAACTACTAATGCAAAGTCTAGTCTAGTCTGTCCTATACTAAAAAATAATTGTAGGAAGTTTGCGTCTTATCATCACAACCCTATAAAAACGTCCTTACACTAAGGATTACATATTCGGGACTATTTGACTACCAAATGTGCAGCACAGGACCAGTAACAAATAGTTCCTTGTTCATTTAAAAGCTATGTGCCTGTGACACACAGAGCTCTTTTAAGAGTTTTGAAGCAGCCACTTTTACTTGTTTCAGGGTTTTCAGGGAGAATAAAGTACATCGCTTCCCTTGATCTCCCTCCAAGTATGATTTCTTTTTTTTAACCTCCATTGCCAGCCTTTTCCCCCCCAGCAGCTGATTTGCTTTTAATAGTAAAAATGTGCATGAGTTTACAAAGCTGGCATGAAAGAAAGCCATTGTTGACGGATATTCACTTCCCATTAAAGATAAAAAAGAAGAAATTGTCTCAAAAGATTATTTTATGCTCCGAGTAAAGAAAGCAATAATGCTTTTATACTAACCAATTAAATACAAGGATAAAGCTAGCGGCTTTCTTTTAAAATTCATTTCTTATAAAAAGCTGATCAATTTTTGTTGTTGACTGGCAATATAAAGAATATTTATTTACATGGACTATTAAGGATCTTTTTATTTAATCGATATGTGTTTCAAATTGTTGATCACTGAGCTTTAGTGATCAAATATACCATGACTTAAAAAAATGTGAGAAAAGCCTACATAAACATTTTGTGTTTCTCTCAGACACAGATTGATCCTTTTGTCTCGAGATGCTTTAACCTGTGGCCTCTGTCTCTTTGTAAAGGGCATCCCAGAGCAGTGGGCACGGCTCTTACAGACCTCGAACATCACCAAGCTGGAGCAGAAGAAGAACCCGCAGGCCGTGTTGGACGTCTTGAAGTTTTATGACTCCAAAGAGACCGTCAACAACCAGAAGTACATGAGCTTCACTTCAGGAGGTAATCTCACCTAAATACTCATGGAAAATGTCAGTTAGCAATATAAAAGGCTAAAAGATCTGCATCTAATACAAAAGATTTTCAGTATGTTGTTTCAAAAAAATGTCTTCTTTTCATTTCAGACAAGTCAGCACATGGGTACATAGCAGCAAACACTCTGGTGAGTTCTTGTAAACCTTCTTTGGTCACTGTTTGTGGTTTTCTATGACTAAATAATTTATTTAGAAATCATAATCTAACAGAGTTTATGCCAGTTGCTCTCTTCATATCCCTGGACTTATTACGATGGTATATCAAATCTCTGACCCATAGCCAGAGCCACGATCTCTGCAACATTTTATTGCTTTCAAAAATGTCTGATTAATGGATGCAGGCAAATAAATTCTTATAACTTATCGAACAGTGTAATAATTTAACAGGTAAGTTGCAATATTAGGTGGTTTATTTCTTTGTCCTGATGCTCAGAGTATTAATGTGCCTCTCCACCTACACCCCAGTAAATCTTCATCACTTCACCCTCGCTGTCTCTTTCTGGGATTTTCTAGAATAGACCGTGTTACTTTAAGGCACGTTCTCTTCACACAGCCTTCTCGCTCTAATGGACAGAGTGTGCGTGTTCCCCTCTGGAGGCTTACTGCCCTCACTATGTGGCATAATTCCCTGATTTTTGCATACATGACAAACACTCTTGCAGCTCCCGCATAGAAACGATGGCTGCTGCGAGAGCCACCACTGAGCTTTGTTTATTTTGCCAATCAACTTAACCAGATTTTGAAATAGACGGAGCTTCAACTGCATCTAGAAGGACTCCCGCTGTGCTGACCTCATTCCTGACTTTGACCAGAGTAATCTATGCTTTCTGCACGCTGGGTGAAGAAGTGGAATCCGAGTCTGTTTAGTAGGATTTGCTGCCCCGGGCAAACTACGCTGGGATCTCTTCATGCAAAGCTATTGCTTGATACAGCTGTATGCCTGTGAAGGGCAAATGGGTGTGGCAGTCCATCTAAAAGATTGTGTGAGTGAGCACAGTAAGGCTATTCTAAAGCATCTCAATCTTGGACCGTCACAGTGCTCAACAGCATGCAGAGGTGACTCAGCTATCGGTCATAGTGCCAATTTTAAGTCTTAAGGAAACAGAATTACAGGAACATTGCCAAAAACTCCTCTATTGAAGAAAGTCCTCATCAGCTACAGTACCTCATATTATTTCAACATCACTTTATGCAGAAAAATATGTGAAAACTAATGTTTTGTTTGCTGTAAGCAGCTCTGTCTACAGCCAGGAGCGACCATGTTTAAGTGGGTGCACTGCACAGATACAGATGCCTCTAATTACTGTGAAGTAATCTCTAATAAAATGACTAACTGCACATTGCTACAACAGCCTTTGTCTCCATCTAACTGTCAGTCAAAGCAGCTGCACTCCTAACTTTGGGTGTAAACAAAAATCCAGCTTCTTTTTTTGTACCAGGTTGTAAACATAATTATTTCTGCTGTAATGTTGAGCATTTTAATGTGGAAGTGTGCAGCAATTTACTTTGCAGCCTCAAGTGGTGATTAGAGAAACTGCAGCTTTTGCTATGTTGGTTTCATATTTTAGCACGTAGAGGTTGCTACCCATAATAATAATAAAATAAAATAAAAACCCTATTCAGTGTCTATATCTAAGATTTTCATTTGAGCTCTTTGAACTTCAGTTTGAGCCCGCGGTGTCTGCCTGACCTTGACTTTCGCTCAGCTTACATATATAGCTGCATATTTTGGCAGTACAGACATCGTGCTGCATCCAAATCCAAGATTTGGTCAGGCAGAAATTCACGAGGAATTTAAAGTGCCAAACGTTATCCCCAGAGTCCTCCTTTATGAGACATTAGATACACCCCAGAGATTATTTTGGCAGCAATGATTACTTTGTGCTTTTTTTTAATTGTTAATAGAAATTACATTAGTGAAATGAAACAGTCAAAATAATTTGACACATTCTCAGGAGACATTGCCTGTCCTCAGTTTTCTTGGCTCTTAATTGTTGCTTTAAGTGGTTCATGTTTGGGTTTTCCTTCTTTATTGGAGCTTTTTAGGAATCTCTCCCAGTTAGCCAACCGTTGAGTCATATGGTATAAGGCCACTTCACCTTAGCTTCCTTTTATTACGAGTTTGTCAACAAATACCTGTCGCTAAACCGCTGTTCGTGTTACTACATTCATAACAGGAGCGTGGGTTATATCTCACATTGCACTGGCTGTTTTCATCACTTGTGTATTGATGTTGTTACTGTAACGTCTGGTACTTTGAAATCCAGCATGGTTGGTGCATGGGTCTTTTTTTTTTTTTTTTTTAAATGAGAAGAATAATATTTCATGCAGTTTGGTTGTGCTCACACAAAACGTGCATTCTGTGGATGGTTAATTGAGAGAAGAGTTTCCCAGAGGCTTTGATTTTTATCAGCAGCGAGTAGTGATTATGCTCGAGTATCTACAACAGTTACAAACTCCATCGACATTCCTGGCTGCCAGCTAGTGCAACACGACTGCGAAAAGTACTAGTCGTTTACTTAAACACAGTACTCTCGGGTTTCAAAGTAAATATAGTGGAAAGGACATATTTTTGACACATCACTCTGCCTTGTGTGTGTGCGTGTGCTTGACTAGACTGGGTGTCATTCAGCTGCGATCTCATTTTGGTTGAAAAGGTTGGTTCATCACAGAATCAGACATTAGGCGCATACATGCATCCGCTCAGGATAATGTTATTGTCCGTACTGTAGTGTCCAAATATGATGGTTATATAACATAAAAAATAATAATAAAAAGACAAAGATTGTTCAGGACTTCAGTGCCATGGACAGGCCTCAGGTGACGTAGTATATCTCTATCATGTCCTTTCCTCTTGCTGGCTGTGGGATATAATGCACGGACATGACGTCCACCTCTGCCCCCTCCACCCTCTCCTAAAGTTCACATAGTCTTACACATGTGTGGGTTTGTTTTGAGTAAATCCTCCCATTTTCAACCTTCACATTCAGAACCGGCTGCTGTCATCTGGGCCTCCTGTCAGCCTTAGAACCTGCAGCGCATTATTTGACAAGGTAACTCCTCCATATTACTATCCACATGACTTATCTCTGCATTGGCCTTGAAGCTAAATTCAACTATTTGACCTCCTACTATTGACTATGCCATCTGGCTAATGCAAAATGCACACAATATTTCATTATGAAAGCATCATCACTCTCTGCACTGAGATTTCACGGGGGATTGATTGGATCTTTTTGTTTTTGATGTTCCAGATATATTTGTCATCTACCACAAAGAGCATCTGTTAATTCTTTTTTGACTGGATCGTGTAGCAGAGCAGTGGCGCATGCCACAGAGGGTTGTGATGACTGTCAAACTGCATGTATGAGCTCATACTCCTGAAAATTTAATCCAGTAATTTGCCTGTAACTTCATCACCATTGTAGACATTACCGCATGGCTCCCTTGCTGGCTAACTGCTTACAATTAGACAGACAGCCTTTCCTGTACTGCAGTCTTGGCCCAGCCCACTTTGGAGCAGGTCAGAGGCCCAGTATGTCTGAACGAAGGACTGAGACTTTTCCCTCAGCCAGACCCTTTCCCTTTAATCACTAGAACTAAGCTGCACTGCTTCATTTATGCATGACAAGACTTGAAATAGATGAAGTGTTTCCATTCCATAAGAGGAAGATGATCCAAGGCAAGTAGAGTTTTGGATTAGAGGGGGAAAAGGCTGAGCATTAGACATAATAAATATGTCTGGGGCTTATTAATCACACTTGTTAAAAGGTAACTCCCACATCAACGGTATGTCTGCAGCTCACCACCATGCTGCACACTGCTGCAGTATGCTATCTCTTACAGTCAAATATTTAACAGTTTGTTACTTAAAAAATTCATTCTCATGGCACACCTTACCAGTCCCCACAACTCCAAATGCTTCTGATAAACTGCACTGGATGCCACCTCACTCTTCTCTCTTTAGCTCACACCTGACTTATTCTTTCCTTTGCTATTAACATTTTTTTTTTCTGACAATTAATCCTGATTTGTTTTTGCTGCTTTCATGTGAGTGACACTGAAAATTGTTTTGGCTTCATGCTAATCGCAAGCTAACTTAAAATCAGTTTTGAATGTTATCTTTATTAGTCTCGGCGTACTTTTGGCCTTTAGTAATCTGATTATGTATGTATGTTGCACAGAATCATTTTGAACCTGAACTGGCCAAGAATCAGATCCTGCACGTTGGCTGGTTTGGGGTCTACAGACTGTTCACAAATAGCAGTAACAAAGCAAAACCGTAAAAGGAAAAAACAATGGATACGTTTAAGAATCTGCACTTTTTTCTTTTCATTCTCTTACTTTCATTCACTGGCACATACATCTACATACATCCACACTGACTTCTAACTCTACCCTCCAGGGTGCCAAAACATCAACAACAGAACCCCCGATTGCTCCGCCTGTGTCAGAGGAAGAGGATGAGGAGGAAGAGGAGGAGGAAGAAGAGGAGGAGGAAGAGGAGGACGACGACGAACTGCCCCCGGTCATTGCCCCTCGACCGGAACACACCAAATCTGTTAGTTGGCATCGTGCGCTTTGCACAATTGTTGCGCTGTGATACCTCTGCAACTCCTTTGATATCTTGCTTCTCTTGCAGATCTACACGCGCTCCGTCATGGATCCACCAAAGCCTCCCACCCCCGTGAAAGAGGTGCTGACTCCACCGGAGTCGCAGGTCCAGCCGGAGAACACGCCCAACACAATGTATCGCCATACCGACCGGCAGAAGAAAAAGTCCAAAATGACGGACGAGGAGATTCTGGAGAGACTCAGTATGTACAGTTACAGCTCCATGTTCTTACGCTCTGCCCTCTCCACACTTCTGTGGATAAATTTAGGAAAGACAGCCTCATCTATTTGCCCAAAATCAGTCGCATTCAATGTCATTGCCAAGCACAAAAATATAAAATATAAACTCATTTGAGGTTAAAATCTGTATATTCATTATAACAACTCTGAGGATGTGACCATTTGTGTTCGGCACTAGCTAATGCTCTGATGTGTATCTGTGTCGATTTGTGTCAGTGTGTGTGGCCTGAGCTGTGCGCTGTACTGATTTAAAAAGAGAGGCTGAATGTTTGGTTTCTAGTAGCTGTTTTCCATATATTACATCTAGTACACAACCTCTATATTTGGTAGAATAATTCAAAAGAACATGGAATAGTGGATTTCTCTCATCTCTGCAATGCAACTTTAGCTGAAATACCCAGAAAGCTCTGTGTATTAGATGTGAGTGTACATAAGCTCTCTGTGCACGGTCTGCCTGAAATGAAAGGGCATAAAAACATTTCCTTTTTTTTCTTTTTTGTGTGCCTGTGTGTGTTTGGATGAAGCGTCTCCTGACAGCGTGCACTGACACACACAGTACAGGACAATCATTATATATCTGCTTTCTCTCTGTCTCAGGGAGTATTGTGAGTGTGGGGGATCCCAAAAAGAAGTACACACGCTTCGAGAAAATAGGACAAGGGTAAGTCTTTCCATGATCATCAACCAGCCGTCACAGTTACTGAAATAGAGCAATTTCAGGAACAGCCAGCCTCTGCAGGAGATGGGGAGCTGTAGTGACCACTTCAGGGGGGCAGAGGCAGAGGGGAACTTGGCTGAATTACTGGAAGAAAAATAAGTAGAGAGGAAATGAAAACTCTATCCCGAAAAGGCCAAGAGCCAGATTAGCTCTGCCATTTTGTGTCTCTCCCTTTATCTCTCCTTGTCTTTTGTTCTTTTTAACACTGTGGCTTTCTGTCACTCTCCCTGTACATATGCACAGATAAAAGTGGTGTTGCTGTTATCGGCTCTGACGCGCTCACCTTTTCCATATTGGATCAGGAAGCTTTTATTTAAACAGTAGATGATTGTATATTTATTCTTTGTCAGGCTGACTTAAAATGTGCCTCATTATTCAGAGTTGTACAGGTGTAGCTGACAGCAAGAGACAGAGGGGGAAAAACAAAGCCTCAATTCACAGTGGAGGTTTTTTCTTGTATTGCAAGTTATGCTTCCTAATAAGGACAGATTGGCTGCATACCATTCCTTTGAGCAGCTATTGGAAGCAAGTGTGTGTGCTTGTCATTGCTAAGATTTAAATTAGGAAATCTAGCTCATTAATAAGAAGAAAAAAAAACATCTCTGGCATGAAGTGTGGACTTTTTCCCCTCTATGTTAATTCACAATTTCATAAAATCATTAGAATACAACTTAATTTGAGACTTCTCTCCATATCAAAAGAAAAGGAAAAGGGAAATTTGGTCATATTAACACACTACAGTTAGCATCTGCTCATGCAACAGTGCAAAGGTCCATGAGATAGTGACTCTGAACATGAGATCAGTCTGATGTAATGCAAGTAAAACCTGATTTATATAAGTCTGCCCTCGGGGCTTCTTTGTCACACCTCATATTTTAATCCTGAAGGTCTCTGAATAATGTAAAAAGTCACCACTATTTGCAGTGCTGGTGTCATTTTGTTCTTGTGTTTTGCAGAGCGTCTGGGACTGTGTACACTGCCATCGATATAGCAACCGGCCAAGAGGTATAACAGACTGTAAACTGCTCAAAAAATGTAAAGGAACTCTTTATAATCAGAGTACAGCATCAACCCCCAAAACAGGAATCGTTTTACAGGTGGAGGCCACTGACATTTTTCCCTCCTCGTCTTTTCTAACGTTTTTTTTTTCCCACTAGTGTTGCATTTAGAATGAAGTGATACATGAACCCTTCATAGGTTGCACAGGTAATCCCCCAGGATGACACATCAGTATGTGCTATTAACAGTCTTAAGAGCATGGAGGAGATTCCTGGACATAGGCAGTTCCAGGATGTAGGCGAGCTGGACAGGGCCGTAGATAGTCCCCAACCTAACAGCTGGACCGGTATCTGCTCCTTTGAGCAAGGAGGAACAGGATGAGCACTGCCAGATCAACAAAATGACCTCCAGAAGGATGCTAGCGTGAATGTCTCTGACCAAAACAATCAGAAACAGACTATATTGTCAGACCCTATGCTGGTGCAGTGGGTCCTGGTTGCCTCCTGGTGCACGACAAAACCCAGCAAGAGTATGCAGGCAATACCTAGATGAATGATCCCACGTTTGCCTGACCTAAATCCAATTGAACACCTCTGGGATGTTATGTTTCAGCCCATTCAATGCTGCCAGGTTGTACCTCAGACTCAGTGATGCCTTGGTCCAGATCTGGGAGATCTCCCGGGACACCTTCGTCTCATTAGGAGTATGCCCCAGTGTTGTCAGGCATGCATACATGCACGTGGGGGGCACACAAACTGTTGAGTAGCATTTTGAGTTTCTGCAGTGACAGTTCAGCAGAATAGATTAGCCTGCCGCATCAGTGTTTCACTTTGATTTTCAGGATCTTTGATTTCAGCCGTCTTTAAGTTGATAATTTCCATTTCCGTCAAACGATGCGGCATCCTTATCCAGCAAGACGTTTTGTTTTTGAAATGTTCCTTTCATTTTTTGAGGAGTTTATTTAACAACATTAACATTCTGTATATTGTTTCTTTTTCCTTACCGAGCCATCGGGGAACTTATTGTACACCCAGTATATCTTGTCTGTTTTCTCAGGTGGCCATTAAGCAGATGAACTTGCAGCAGCAGCCCAAGAAAGAGTTGATCATCAATGAGATCTTGGTGATGAGGGAAAACAAAAACTCCAACATAGTGAACTACCTTGACAGGTTTGATTTCACCTGTAGAGTCACAGAAATAAGTAGAAAGATTTATGCTTCTGTGTTAAATCTACACCGTAGGTGTAATGAGTTAATTATGGTAATTAATTATAGTTGTTAATTTCTTCATTGGACACAGTTAAAGCTTGATGAGCTGAAGAGTCGTAGTGGAGATATTTTCCTCTTATTCCAGCCTCACGTTCTATGCAGTCACCTGCTTACTACATATATGTTGCTAGTTCCAATAACCAAACATTACACTACAATTTATTATGGATTTACTGTCATTACTTAAGTTTGCAAGTAAACTTACCCAGTGTATAAATATAACTTTGCCAGTAGCAGCTGATCTGTGATCAGAACAAAGTTGATGCAGTTGACTGTAGAGTGATTTTGGCCTAGTGTGTATTATAGTTACCTTAATGACATTGAAAAATCCTCTCAGCCTTCTTTTCTTCCTCATCTCCTCCTCTTTCTTGCTGTTCTTCTTCTAATGGTGGTCTCATTTCATCTTAAGACATTACTGACACCTAGTGTTGTAAAACCGTATAAGCATTCAGCAAGGGCACTCAGCTCATGCAGCTTTCGAACATCTGTTCCACTCGGCTCCTTTTTTCTTTTGCTTTATGTCCCTTTGTCCACAGCTAGCGGTAACGTGCTTCAGCTCTTGCTTCTTGTCGTAGACTGCTCTGTCATCTCATTTTCTGGGCAAGGCTTGAGACTCGATTTGCCAAAGAAATATTAAATATGTGTTTCTCACTTTCTCTTTTATTAGTTACCTGGTAGGAGATGAGCTTTGGGTGGTGATGGAGTATTTGGCTGGAGGCTCGCTGACAGATGTAGTGACTGAGACCTGCATGGACGAAGGCCAGATTGCAGCAGTCTGCAGAGAGGTAAGAAGCCAAGTTTAGATCAGCAGTACTGCCAGATGACCCTAATATTAAGGTGGACTCATGTAGACAAGTTTACGCATTTTACCCAGCCTAGAGAAAAGGACCGTCTACGTCTAAATTTTTCCTGAACACAGACTTTCTTTCATAGGTGAAGTTAGTAATGGGTTTTTTTTCTCTTCAGTGTCTGCAAGCTTTGGACTTTCTACACTCCAACCAAGTTATCCATAGAGATATAAAAAGTGACAACATCCTCTTAGGGATGGATGGATCTGTGAAGCTGAGTAAGCATTTATTCATTTTATTCAATAAACTTTGGCTTTGGTGAGGAGTATGATCAGGTTTAGAGACACTGTGTTGTGTTAAATGAAAGACTGCTGGGATCAAATAAAAAGAATAGAAATGCACGACTCAATGTTAAAACACCCTTGCGTCTCTCTGTCTCCCTCTCTCTCACTTGCTGCAGCCGACTTCGGCTTCTGCGCTCAGATCACTCCCGAGCAAAACAAGCGCAGCACGATGGTGGGAACGCCCTACTGGATGGCACCAGAGGTGGTGACTCGGAAAGCTTACGGCCCCAAAGTGGACATCTGGTCTCTGGGAATCATGGCGATAGAGATGGTGGAGGGAGAACCACCTTATCTGAATGAGAATCCACTCAGGGTAAGAGCCAAAGCACAGCCACAACACGGAGGCTCAGTAGCCGTCTATGGTTCTTACAGTTTACGTGGAGATAAAATATTCGTATGTCTTTTTTCTGCGGTCCTTGCATGTTTGACCGCGATCATCTTTCCAGGCGCTCTACCTGATCGCAACCAACGGGACTCCAGAGCTGCAGAATCCAGAGAGACTATCATCTGTGTTCAGAGACTTCCTCAACCGCTGTCTGGAGATGGATGTGGACCGCAGAGGTTCTGCCAAGGAGTTGCTCCAGGTAAAAACAGAGACTTGAGAAATAAACAGTATGTAGACACGCTACCATCTGCTGCACTTTGACGAATATATCCAACTATGTGAGTGATGTGGTGTAAACGAGCCATAATTCTTACTACTGCACAAAACCAAATTGAGCTCAAAGTGTTGCATTTTGGCGTTCATCATCTTGTTCTTTTAACAAAATTATCTTTTTGGATAGGCAGGTCATGTACTAGGTTATCAACTTTTGTTAGTTACCCTGGAAACTGGATAATGATTCTTGGATAATGATAATAATAATTTCTCTCACCCCAACCGGTCGCAGCATATGGCTGCCCCTCCCTGAGCCTGGTTCTGCTGGAGGTTTCTTCCTGTTAAAAGGGAGTTTTTCCTTCCCACTGTCGCCGAAGTGCTTGCTCATAGGGGGTCATATGATTGTTGGGTTTTTTTTCCTCTGAATGTATTATTGCAGGGTCTACCTTACAATATGAAGCGCCTTGAGGCAACTGTTGTTGTAATTTGGCGCTATATAAACAAAACTGAATTGAATAGAATAATATGATTCTAAGCGTACTATATTAAATCTACTCTTATGCTTGTTTTAATAATCATAACTGTATTTTTATGATATTGCAACACTCTTTGGATTCATAGGAACATTTTAAAAAATGATTTTTTGCATTTTCAGCATTCTTTCCTCAAGTTGGCGAAGCCTCTATCCAGCCTGACGCCCCTGATTGTAGCTGCAAAGGAAGCCATAAAGAACAGCAGTCGCTAAGGATGTGCTCTCTGTCCGCACCCGAGGCTGGAGCCCCGCCTGCGATGAGTGCTTTCATCACATCCAGGGGCTTGGGTGTATGGGTGTATGGGGGGCGGGTGACGTGACAGTGACAGCACAAGGAGGGGTTTGTGTGACTTACAGTGACAGCACAAGGACAAAAGACCCCCAGGCCTCAAATGTAGGATGGACATCTGGCCTTGCAGCGTCTCGGCCCATGCTGCTGAAAAGACCTTGTCTCCCCGTTTACTCCTCCAGCACTCTGTACATGTAGAGCAGTCTATCACAAGTGTGTGTGAGTGTGTGGGTGTGTTGGCCTGCGTGCGCGTATACAAACTGTGCACATTTCTTTGTGTCGTACGTCCTGTTTGGGAGGCGGTTGCTTCCCAAACCGAAAAAAAAAAAACATGAGAAAATTGAAAAGAAAGCGTGCTCATTTTCAAGAAGAGGCTCCAAGAGCGACGAGGAGAGACAAAAAAACTAAACTTGAAGAGCCTGAATTTCCTTCCCTGGCAAGCTTTAGGCTTGATTATCCCTCCTCCAGTCCTTCCCTTCATGGTGCACCATCGGGCCACACCTGCACCTGCAGGGACTGGCTGATGTGAGAGCGTGATTCTGGACCCAGCCTTTGCCTGCATGACTACGGCTCTGTGGAAAAAACATAGCTACTCCTCTGCAGACTGTCACATCTCAAGGTGGAATATTTTTGCATTTTCTGTGTGTCTGTGTGTGTGTGTTTGTAAATGCGTGTAGTAGGGGTGCCACTACAGGGGAAAAAGTCAGGAATAATTTCACATGACCTATGCCAGCTTTAAACACCCTTTATTAATCCATTTCATATCGGTGAAGAGTTGGAGTTGGCGACGGTTGCCTGAAGTTTTGGCTGTTTCCTGTTGCAGACACACATGATCACTGATGCCAGAGCCAGAGCTGTGTGCTTGCGATGTTTATATTATGGAGATCTGTCATTTACTCATCCTAGAAGATGGTCATCTACAGTAAGTTGGAGGTCCAGCGCCACACTCAATCACACCCAAGGATGCCCCAAGAATCACAGTGTCCTTAGTCAAAATACACCCAACAAACAAATGCTGTGAACAAAAAATATCTTTATCCAATTGAAACTGACAAACACGACATAAAGGGAAAGTACTTCAAATGCATGTGTTGTGTCCAATGAGCCACTGACCACCAGCTGCCCCTCCTTCCTTCCCTCCTTCCTTCCTTCCCTCCTTCCTTCCGTCCTTCCTTCTTCCTTTTTGTACTTATGATGCTGCTCATTCATTCTTTTTTCCCCCCTCATTTAATTGGATGTTATGCAAATTCTTTCCGTGACATTTACATTTTATCACCTTGTGGGTGTGCGTCAGATCAAAAAGAGGGGGATGTTATCAAGGGAGTGAAGCAGGAAGCAGGGAGTGCCATTTTACGATTGTACCTTGCCCTATAGCGCTGAAAACCCTAGCCGAGGTTCACATTGATCGCCATCATTCCTTCCATACTGGGTTTGCTTAAACTCACTCCTCTGTACAGAAGTTTAGATTTTGTGTCTGTATTTGCTGCCTTCATTGGACATTTCCCATGTAGCATCCCCCCCCCCCGTGTGTGTGTGCGTGCGTGAGTGTGTGTGTGTTAGGGGGCTACCTCAATCTGCACTAGAAGATGCCTCACTCGTGTTGTCCACCTTGACTTTGAGGTGCAGGGTAGCTGCTTAGTCATATTGTACCTCCACTGTCCAGCGCAGAAGATGGAGTGACGTGAGACAGGAGGAAGCAACAGAATCCATGCATGTAAAACAAACTATACACTGTATGTCATCTTCAGATAGGTTAAGATTGTTAGGATATGTATGTATGTATGTAAATACGACGGGAACCCCCACTTTTTTTTCATAACTATGTAACTTAAAACGACAATATTCAGGTTGCTCTGTGGTATGTATCAATAATTGTTTTGCACCCTGGAAATAGAAGAGAAAAAAAGAGAGAAAAGCAAACACACAAACGCCGTCTCTGCACTCCTGGATCCACCTCTCCTGTTTGGGCTTTATAGGACACTCCTTCATCCGGACAGAGAGCCGATGAATGCAGCACTCTGTGTGCGGGCCCACACAGTCTGTCCTGAATACCACTGCTGAGTGTTTGTGCGTGTGTGTGCGTGTGTGAGTGCGCGTGGTAGGTGTGGGTGGCCTGTTAGGAAGCTTCGCCAGCCCTGGGACATCTGGCCTCTGCCCCATGTACAGGTCTGAACTATGAGCACAAAGGTGAATTTCGGGACGAGAGACACCGCCGACGTGCCCCCTTTTCTGTGGTTGCTCCTGTACATTCCTATCTTCTGAATGTGTAAACCTGTACACGTGGTGTGAAAATTCCTCTATTAATGTCTATCAAGAGAATGGAACAAAGACAAAAAATGTTACTTTTTAAATTATTATCTTTATTATTATTATGATTATTATTACTACTACTCTTATTATTGTCTAGCTTTGTAAAACTGCTGATCCATCTGGCATACCTCAGCAGGCCTTCCCCCATCTTTGGAAAAGGACAAATGAGTGAAGGGGAAATGAGGTTTTGGATAAACTATTTTTAATTGTGGTTGAAGCAATAGACTTTTTGAACTTTGAATTGTGCATGGCTGTGTCTTGAGTGTCCAAAAAACAACAAAAAAAAAACTGAAGGAAAAAAAAACAACAAAATATTGCAGTTTGGGAACTGGACTGAAATAAAAAGAGGAAGAAAACCAGAGTCGTAGCAGTGTTTGGTCTTAGGATTTCTTTTAATTTTTGTTCCATTGAGGATTTTCTTAGTACTCATGAGAACGAACCATGATTGTAAACTGCTGGAGGAAAGAAACGGAAGAGGAATGCATACGTGTAACAACAGGTGTAGCATGTAACACATTACTCTGCAAAAAGGCGACTGTACAGGCCGCGATCTTGGTAACTGTGAGGCCTGAAGGACAAATACTGCCATGTTTCTCACAGTGTCGTATCAGAATAATCGGGGTTACAAACACATCAAAATAAAAACTTTATATATAAATTATAAAAGCATGAATTTAAAAAAAAAAGATCAAAAGTAACGAAAAGGGAGAGATTTTCAGTTTGTCCCATAATTCCCTGCTCACATAAATTCACCTTCATACAAATGCATCCCGCTGCTGGTTTTGATGCTTGTCAAATAAGTCAAAGCTGAGAAAGGATTCAGCTCCGGTCATATGGCAGTCAGCTGAACCGAGGTGACGATCCTTAGGCCGATGGTGCCGGGCATCTGCCGTCCTTGATCTGTGAGCTGAAGCCTCTGAGGTTCGGTGGGGTCGTTCACTGACCCGGACAACACGACTTGGCCCATAAATTCATCCTTCACTGCGTTGCTGTTCCACACCTGAGGAGAAACAGTCAGTTTGAAATATATTTATCTCCACACTCTAAAATTTAACGGCAAAACAAATGTTTTCACTCATTAAACAGATTAGGAATTTAAGATTTGCACACGCAGGATGAGACTTGGTCCAATATGCAAATTAGGCTAGTGGTGTAAAAAAAATGTATTGTTGTTGTTTTGGCTTTTATGAGCAGAGACAGCACTTAGTTTACATTTGATGCAGAATTGTGTGTAAGACTTCAGGTAAATTGAAAGTTTATTCACTGTTAAAAGCTGGGAAATTTGTTTTCTTATGCTCTTGAAGCCTTTTACAAACTCTTTAATGAAAACTTTACAGTCTTTGAGATTAAAATAACGCTGATCTCTGAAAAGCAGACATGTCTGAGAGACATAGTTTCAACCGGACAGAGGTGAGAAATCCCTTTGCTCCACCAGTCACTGAGAATAATTCCATTAAGCAGGACTAATGAGATAGACTGCATATTACCTGCACAGTTATGGGCTTGCTCAGCTTTTTCCTGTAGAAAACACCACTAGTTGTAAACTCTGGGTTTAAGGTGTCCTTGTGGATGGTGGATTTGACTGACTTGCCCTCACATGATATGATCACGTAGGGGTCTGCACCTGCGTGAAAGAGAACCAGATTTGGTGGATTAAAGACTCATCACGCTGAACAGAAGTGTTATAGCAGAAAGTTTAACTTGTGGAAAGTCTTCTAACCTCCTGTGCGGTCCTGATTCTGCAGCCCCTCAGCTGAATGTACATAGACATGAGTCACAGCTTGTGGGTAACCAATGATTGAACTCCAGCATTTTACCTGAGGCTTGTCCACTGTCAGCTCCCTGTGAGAGTAGAGAAGAGTTAAGAGTTGGCAATGTGGCCTTGTTCTTACTAGAGGCAAACTGAAAGAGTGGAACAGTAACATTACACCTATGATTCATAGACAAGGCTGAGTGGATGACCTGCATTATTAATGAGTGACTATGAGTTGCTGTGCCAAAAAGAAACAAAACAAAATCTGGCAAAATAAAATATTTGGCCAAGAAAAGCAATAGAAGTTACTGTAAATCACATTTAAATGGTCCCTATTTCCCAAAACACTCATTTGAATGTTTTCTTGGACTAAAAACGTACAAACAGCTTTTTCCCATATCAGTCAATTTCCCATATAAGTGCGTTATTTTTTGGAGTTATTGATATTACATTTTTGTCTGACAAACTCAGCTACACACTGTTGTTGGCTTGACCTCACATCTACGGCACTGTCCTACCTGCAGCCGGACTCCACATCAGTGAAAACCCGGAGCATGAAATCGCCCAGCGTAACAGGCTGGAAGGTGGTGGGGAAGATGACATATCGGCCCTGAGTCAGACTGATCCTCATGAACACTGTCCGAGCATTGATGTAGGTTGACGTATTTACACACTTTTGGGTCAGGATGTCATGTAAACGGTACTTCCTGTTCAGCTCCACCTGGAAAAGAATTTGATATTTTGTGAGCATAATTTACCAAAATCCTGTGCAACACAGTTTGGAGCTACTTCAATAAATTTCAAAGGAAATGCGATTACAAGTGACACATGAAAATATCACCTAAGAAGCATATAGTACGCTCAAAATGAATGCAGCTTGACATACAGGGTGAGCTTCACTGCAAGATTGGCTTGCAAAAACAATTAATCAAAATAATACGACGTAGCAAAAATATACAAGATTACATAAATTACGTCTACTATACAAACAAATCTGGGTAGCAGAATTTCATTTTTCCCTGTTTAATTTATAGCCATTTTACTTAAAGGTGACTTGAACTCTAATGAACTGCACTTTTTACTGCATGAAGGAGCAAAACCTTCTGCTCCACCGCAGTCAGCTGCATCAGTATAGTAGCAATCCGAAAAAGTACCTGGGCAGAAAAATGACTTTTAAACTGCATTTTGCTAATTTTGTACTTAATTAAACTACATTTGAATCTGTGCCAGAGTCAACGAATACATGTTCTTCTTGTTCATCATAAACTTTAATTGATGCCTTTAAACAGCGTAGTAAAGAGAAGTGGAAAAGATGCTTCACACTTAGAGTTTTCTGCCTCCTGGTGGCACAAAATAGAAACAATAATTGAATTTTAACACGCGCGTTACTGTGTTGACTGATCGTCTCATTTCTTCTTGTTTTTGAAAAAAAAATACAATGGCATTAAATGTGATTTTTTTTTTCACCACAAACAAAGCAGACAGGAATCTAATCGTAACATCTGTGGTTTAGAGGAAGTGCCCGATAGAGGAAGAGGACACATTACTTGTATGATAAACATATATGAGAAAGGTTAAATAAAGATTTAACATTTCACTTCCACAGTGGGCCACGCCCACACGGCTGTTTCTGTTCTCTTTCTTTCTTTCTTTTTAATTAAAAGCTTTTTATGGTGCTCATATTCATTCCTGTCCAGAGTTTTGGCAGCACTTCTATCAGCGTGATAATAGTGCACAGTGTGTGTCTGAACTTTGCCATGTCTCTGTCAACTAAAGTCTCATTACAGGAAATGAGCTGTCAGCTTTGTCACACTGGGTTTCATGGTCTCATTTAAAGGTGACAATCTAATCGCAACATGCAGGACAACATCAAGTTTTAAACCCGCTTCTGAAACACACCCCAGGTTGTAGTGATCGGCACTTATTGTATCTTGTGTCTGTTTCAGAACTCAGTGTATCCATGTATTTCATACTTTTCAGCTTTTTTTTTTTGGCCTGGTTATGATTTAGCAGACATAACACATGAGTCCTAAATAATCCCTGCACACTGCTGCACAAGAACACAGGCATCCGAGCCGTCTGAAATCATCACAAAGATTTGAGTTTGGTGTTC